ATCAAAACTGCTGATGTATTCTGTAGAGCAGTGGTTCCCAACCTGCGGGTCAGGACCCCTATTAGGGGGTCGCCAAAGCTTCACAGGAGGTCGGCAGGGCTTTTTGGTTTTAAGGGGTGTAAGAAAACGTTTACAATAAACACAGCAGGCTGTATGGTAGCATTGTGTTTATTTCTGTGAAGAAAACTAAATAAAAATGTTATTTTTAGAGGTTTGATTTTTCTTAAAGACAAACTTTGAACACAAAATGTATCCAAAGAGCCTTCACCCGATGAATGTCTTGCTTTAGAGCCAACAATGGCCGAGCATAAGGGACTAGAAAAACACATAATCTGGCCAAAAAAGATGCCTGGTAAGTAAAATACATAATACTCAATATTCAAAGGAAATAATCTGCTCAAAATTCACCCAATCACTGGTTCACACAACTTCCTGCAGTTATTGTGTTTACAGTGTGTCAGTTATCAGCTGTTCTCTGCTGCTGTTGTCCTGCACTGAATATGATATCAAATATATCACTGAGTCCGTTGGTAGAAGGAGGAAAAAGCTTGGGAACCACTGCTGTAAACGAACAGTTGCTCCAACACTAACTGCAGACAGTTAACCGGGTCCACAGCCTCTTAAAGCGCCGCTCTGCTTTGAGCTACATGCTAACAGGCTCACAATAACAACGCTATAGCCTGATGATGATGATGATGATATATCATATCATAACTAGATTAGAACTGTAATGGTATTAAATGCTAATATCGGTATCAGCAAATACCCAAAGGTAATAAAGACCAGGTTCCTGATGTTCCCCGTCACCCTGACCTCTGACCCCTCTTCATTATTGATCACTGCTGATGCTGATGACTAAAAATGGATTCTGTTTTAGTTAATGAAGTAGCTCCATCCACAGCTGAACACCCATTTATCAGAAACCAGAGTCCTCTTTAATAACAATAAGGACATACAGATTGAACTGCACGCTGCTCATCAGCAGTTCCACAGCACAAAGGGAGGAACTGTCAATATTGGGGCTCTAACTGACACTTTGATTATCAGCAGTTGTTTGGTTCGGTAAAATGTCAAAGTTAAAAATGTCTTTAAATCCGAGGTGACGTCTTCAGATTTCTTGTTTTGTCCGATCAACCCTCCGAAATGCAGGAAGATACTCGATTACAACGATATCAACTGTGGGGAAAAAGTTTTGTCCTTTTTACTTAATAAACGACTATAATGACGAAACAATCTCAATAATTTCTCTCGATCGACGGATTCATTCTTTCTACCTCAGTAACGATTAAATGTTCACTGTAAAAGAAAAATCATAGAAGAATCTGTAATATTCCAGCGTCAAAGAAATACTGTAAAATAACAGAAAATAATACAGTAATTTCCTATAATTAAAATACATTTTACTTATAAATGCAGGTGAACACGATATCTATATAGATATATCTTTTTATGTCATTTTATGATTAGTATCTTTCATTAGACATGTATATTTACAGGTTATCTTTGTAATTTTATAAATATTTTCATGTATTTAAAAAAAAATAAATACAGAAAAAACCTGAAAAACCTTGTTAACCTACAGATTTTTAATTTTTTTACAGTGTTGAGGCTGTGGTAGTAACCATGTGGGGTCCATCTTGTTTATATCTGACAGTGAATGAAGGGGAATCAGTTGTATTGATCATTGGAGTCGGGTCAACGATCTTTTGATGAGATTTAATCCAAAAACCACTTCCTTCTACACCTCCCTCACTGCTGGTTCCTGTTCCTTATCCCTCTATCTCCTTAGAACCTCCCTCCTTTACCTCCTTACCTCTCTTTCCTCCCTCCTTTCTCTGCACCATATTTCCCTCTTTATTATTCTTCTGCTCCTTTGTACCCTCTCTCTCTGCACCTTCCTCCTCTTCGTCACCCTGTCCCCGTCCTCTCTCCCTCTCTCTCCCCCGGTGTCCGGGGTCAAGGCCCAGGGGAGCCAGTAGAGTCTAGCACATTTACGGGGTGGGGGGCTCTGAATAGTCCTCTCAGCGGGGAGCGATTCGCCGGCCTGGCTGGGATTTTCTAATGAGCTTGTATAAAGGAGGGGGGGTAGTGTCTGAGGGGGTGAAGATGCCACATTCGCTGTTACCCATCCTCCCCACTTTCTCCCCCTCTTTCCCCTGGTTATAGCAGATTAATTAAAAGCTCGCTCTCTCTCTCTCTCTCTCTCTCTCTCTCTCTCTCTCTCTCTCTCTCTCTCTCTTATCAGTAAGAGTTGAGCACTTACTGTAAGCCTCCAGGGAGGGCTCAGCGCCGGGCCGGGTGGGCAGGGAAAGGGGGCGGTGGAGCCTCCGGGAACGATGCTAATTCCAGCCAGTGGGACGGTGGGACGGCTGCTTAGGAATTACTCCCGCCGGTGGTACGTTCATCGCTGATTATCTCGAGGAAAGAGATTGCGCTCACAGACAGTCAGTCAGTCAGTCTGCCTGTCAGTCACAGCTCGGGCTCATTTCACATTCACGCCATTTTTTATTTATTTCTTTTTTCCCTCGCTCTCGTCAGTCGTCGGGGTAATCTGAGCCGGTCGCCTGAAGCCAAGAGAGACTCAAAGAGCAGCCGTAGTAATCGAAATGAAATCCTCAACCTGTATAGTGTCAACAGTAAATCCTGTAATAAAGAGCGTAATGAATATAAATATTGTAATAAATGCTCGCCGGATGTTAATATCATCCTGCTGTGCTCTCTGCGCAGAGTCAGCAAAACTGTTGGAAGCAATTACTATTAATGTTCCAGTGATTATTAATACATGTTTTTCACATTTTCATCCCCTAAAGCTTCCTCTATAGCTCGTTTCCTTACTGCCATACAATTAAAGTTATAGGAAATAATAATTATAGAGTTCTGGCTTTGTTTCTTCACAAAGGAGGATTTTTTATTTTTATTATTATTTACTATTATTAGCAGCACGATGGAAGCAATGTCTATTTGATGCATTGTCTTTAAATATCGTAATCATTTGGTGATTTTCATCTAGCGCCACCATGAGGTCAAAATGTGACTTTGTCCAATCCTCTGGTTTATGATCAAATACGTGCAAAACCAAAAAACACTAACTAGCTAATCTAAATCAATCTTTAGTTAATCTGAAAGCTAACATTAGCAAAACACTATTTTGTGACTTTTTGTTTGTGTTTCTGAGATGTGACGATATATGTCGCTTGAATCTTTTTCACCATCTCCAAAATGTGGGTTGTTTTCAACATACTCGATGCTAACACGTAGCATATCTAAGTACAGGAAAGGAGGAAGTTGACTGATGAGGCTTTAGAGTGGATTTTCCATCGAGGTCTAGTTTACAAAAACAAAACACCAGAAACATACAAATGTTCATTCTGTCCCTAACCGACACATCTTCCATCACTAATCAACCGTTTGCCGTTAAGCTTTTTCTTTCTGCTGTGTGATAATGATAAAACCACACACATTAAAACTCGTGCTTTAACTGTCAGTGACGTCTTCGTACATTCACACACAGCAGCAGCCTCGTGAGGCCAGAACGCCGCGCCGCTCCAAAGACAGAAATAACATTAAAACACAGGAAATCCCTCACCCCGCCCTGCTCTAAACGATGGCTGCGTTTCATGACCTGAAGTCATGTGTCTGTAAATGAAGACCATTATTCACACTGAAGTGCAGTCTGAAATGCCAGCGAGTCTACAACAGAATTAAATGTGCAGATTTTATGAACCTCCCGAAGCCCCGACAAAGTAGTCATATTCATTTCCAGACATTATTTTTCCAGACATTAGAAAACAATAAAATCTTTCACTGTGTGGACAGATTACATTTCATTGTTCACCTCCGCAGTGAGGACACTCTGACTGTTTCTGCTCAGCTTCCCTGTCCTTCATTTCCATTCCCTTGTTTTGGAGTTTGTTGCCTGAAGTCAGCGACACAGTACACGACTTACAAGACTTGACACTGAAATACAGAAGCTCATAATCTTAATGAAATCCTTTTATTGTGTCAACAATAAAATCCTGTAATAATGAATGTAATCACATGAATTTTTAATGCAATGGAAAGTGCAAGCAGTCTTTGAAAAGAGTCTGAATGATACTGGATTTTATAGGCCGCACACTGTTACTGAGGTTATCCTGCTATCAAACTACGTACTACATGTATTTCAACATAGAGCAAAGTATTGATCCTCTATAGAAACTAATCAGCTGTCAAGAGCAAACTATTCTACCAATAAACAGGGATATATAACTTTGTTTTTATACTGAACATTAGAAATTCATCAACCTGCTTTACTGGATTTAAAATGCATCATGTAGCACGTTTTTAATCCAAGATGCATATTCACAAAGTAGGATTGTTACTTTATATGTCTGAAAAGTGAAATAAAGGCAAATAAAGATAAAATCAGGGTTCCTGCGTGTCCTGGGAATCCAGAGACTAGTTTTCCAGTCATGGAAACGTCTGGAAATTGATTAAAATGACCAAATATCCTGTAAATAATCTATGTTGTTGTGGAAAAGACTGTCTTCGACTGTTGGTAGGAGAACCTGCAGGACGACATGTACGTGGAACGAACTTGCAGCGATCTTTTCGGTGTCGAGGCTATTTGAGTTTTCTGAAAAATAGAATAAATATAACTTTAACTGAGCTGTGGTCAAAGTAACGGTAATGTAAAAATGGCCTGTAGTGAGAACAACCAAGGGCCACAAAAGCAAATAAAGTGTAGTCTAATGGGTCGACATTCGTTAGCTAGGCTAGCAGCTCAGAGAGGCTAACTCTCCAGTGTCTGTGGCAGAGCTAACGGCTACGTAGCAGGCCACAGTCTGCAGACTGGAGGCGTTGGTTTGATAGGAGGTTGGTTGGTGACCAACGCTGCTGCCACCACTCCTGGAAAGGTCCTGGACAAGCTCCTGGAAAGGTCCTGGAAAAGGACTTTTGAACCGTGTAAATCACAGAATATGAAATGTAAAGTTTGGGACTGATCGTGGTTTGTGTTGCAGGTTGCAGCCGTTCATCACCGGACAGCCCAGCAAGAAGCTCGCCGTAGAGCAGGTGAGCTGCCCGTCATTTTCTCACCACATCTGCTCTTCGTCTCCCGCCACCCCGCTCGCCTTCTCCGTCTTCCCGCTCGCCCTCCTGCACTTAACGGACGCACACACTCAGTCACCCAGTCAATCACTCGCACAGATACGTTCCCGCTCAGCTTTTTCTCCCTTCTCCAAAACACTCTTATCTGCCTCTCTCTCTTTCACACACACACACACACACACACACACACTCACACACACACTACATTAGCCATATTGTTGCAAGTGGGATTTACCAGAAACTCTCTGCAGTTAAAAAAAAAAAAAGGTCTAAAGTCAACAAGTAATGATTGATATTATTTGGGAGTTTGGAGAGTGAAGTAGAATTTGCTGTGAAGTCTGTGCCAAACAAATGAAACCGACAAAAAGCAGAAACGACACATTAACTGGGGAGCAAGTCAGAAAATAAGAAAGCTACAGAAACATGATGAAATACACATCATAGGAATGTGTCAACCATCAAAATCTTTCTCTTTCGTAATGTGTCTTGTGTAGCCGGCGACTCATTTCGATTAAACAGACATTTACCTCGACCAGTCTGAAAGTAACAAACACGAACACTGTCTGACAATATATCGTCTGCACTTTAACATCCATTTGAAAACGTTCTTAATCAAAAGATAATCAGCCCTGAGCGGGATCACAGCGTCTGAGAGCTGGGGCCGTAAACCGCCTTGGTTTAGCTGAGGGTGGCTAACGTTAGCAGCGCTGGGTTAACGTCGTTAACATGTCCTTATTAGAAAGTTGTTCTTATTACAGACGATGAAAACTCTGATTTAAGATTCTTAAAATAAGCATCTAGGTCAATTTACCTTAATCCAAGATTAATAATTAGCAAGGAAATGTCTTAAATGAAGGCTCCAGAAACTTTCTGTTAAACTGAGAACTTTAACCACTGTTACAGGTTAAATCGAGCTCAGTATTAGCTGTAATATCTTATTAAGACACAGATGTATTTTCTTAAAACAAGATGACTTTTCAAACACAAAACATGCATGTAACATCTTTTATTTAACAGTTAACAGTCGTTGTATAACAAAGGCCTCCTTTAATAAAATATTAATAATAGTTTAACTGACTAGCGCGGGTAGGAATGTTTAAAACCACTAGTCGACTAATGACGTCTTCCTCTTTAATATCTCTGAGTGTATGCACAGAACTGTCATCAGTGTGAGGAAGGTACTCATTGGTGTGTATGAGTCCATATATGTATATGTGTAGCCATTATATCAGAATCCAAGGCGATCACAGAATATAATAGAGATATTAATAAAGATTTAGTCTAAATATCTGCTATACATGAGCACTTAATCCATAAAGTTTTAAAGAATAAGGCTGCAATTATTCTACATTTTTCCTCCAACCAACAAATCCCATCGAAAGACCGAACGTATTCATCTATCCTTTGACTTTTAATCTCTGTCTGTAGCTCTCAGCCACAAGCCCACTGGTTCCCACTGGAGCTGTAAAACGTCTCATTATATAGTTGGATAACTGGAAAAGCTTCAGTCATTTCCTAAAACAGCTGCTCTCTGTAGTTTCTATACAGTCACTCAAACGAGACTGAACAGTGCATTTGTTGGGGACTATTTTCAGCCGCGGATTAATCCACATGATGTCCAACGTCTCCTGACAGCCCACAACCACAGACAACAAAATATATTCAAGTGAGACTGGAGCAACAGTGGGCCGGGCATGCAGGAGGCTATTGTGGAGTTATTATAGATTATTATTACTATTATACTCAAAAGCTCGACTCATAACAGGCAAGTGTCCATTTGAGCAAGCACAGTTAATCCGCTCATCAATTTTCGGCTCATCTCGCTCTATGTCGCATTAATTGATTTAATCTCTTACCAAGAATTATTATTGTGTACCACGGGGAAGTACAGACAAAAATATGATATAAATGTAATATAATTGTAAGCCTTATTGTCCCTACTGGTTTTCTGTCATTCTTTGATCAGTGTGACAGTGAAAAAGATATTAAATAGCATCCTTTGTGGTATTAAAAAAGTCTAGTGAAAATTTAGTGAACACTGACTGGAGCTCTGTTGCTCGGAGGAACATCAGACTGTGGATACGCACGACGCTTGTTAGCAGGATACATTCAGTGTTTGACAATAAGAAAATATAGACATATCTTTGAACTATTTTAGAACAACCCAGAGGATTTGTGTGTGTGTGTGTGTGTGTGTGTGTGTGTGTGTGTGTGTGTGTGTGTGTGTGCATAATGAAGCTGTGACTACACCTGGAGACGGGCTGTAATTCCCCGTCAGTCTCTCCCAGTCGGCCATTAAAAGCTGATTGCTGCGATCTCCTGCAGAGTGGACGGGGATGAATAAATCTTCACTCAGGCCGTGTGAAAGTTGAACCCTTACTTCCTCTTTTGTTTGTCCTTCCATTATTACTCCTCCCTCGCTCTCGTCCTCCCTCGGGGGCGTTCACTGCTCCTAAAAAATCTCCGACAGGGTCTTAAAATAAATACGGCCTTAAACCTGAACATAAAAATGTCTTAAACGGCACTTTTGGAAGTGTTTTTCTTTTCTGATGGGCTTCTGTTGGCCAGTCGCCGGCTCTCAGATGAATCCACAGAGGACAAGGTTAGTGGTACAATGTGTCCTATCTGCTTTACAAACCCACTTAGACTTCCAGTCTTTGAACAGTTAATTTCTGGATGTCCTCATTCTGCCCATTTATAGCCTCACAGCTCTCACCAGCCATCTTCAGGGAGAAATAGGCCAGTTCTTCCAACTTTGTGTCTTAATTTGATTTTAAATTGGAGCCAAATTCAATCACAGGTAGCTTTACATCATCTTCAGAGTCTTAACTTTGGCTTTCTGTACTTCATATACAATCTGTACTCCTCTTTCTCCCCCATATCTCATTTTACACATTCCTGACTGTCCTATCTTCTCTTCCCGCTTCGTGCCAGTGCCGATCTGTCTCATTTTCTTATGATTTACTTACTCTCTTCAACACTTGCTCTTCATCCAGAAGTAAAGTGGCAGGAGTTATTTTGGGAGTCCAGCGTTAGGTGGCCGACAGTCGAGCACTTAAAATCTTGGGTAACGCTCTCCTGAGGACACAAGATGAACAACTGTGTCAGAACACATCCGGTTCTTGGAGAAAAAAAGCCAAAGTTAGAAGCCTCTGGACATTAAAGTCAACTACAAGTCCCATGGTGCATTTCTGTAAGAAACATCCAATCGCAGACCTTTAAATTATGTTATGTGATGGTGAGCTGAAGTTAAATATTAAACTTCCCCAATTGCAGCAATGAAGCATTTTCATGTTATTTGACTGGCCTCCTCTCCATAGTAACAGCCACTGAGGCTCATGGGTATTGTAGATTTTATATAGCAAACTAATGGAAAAGACTTGATTTCTCAGGAACACAGTTAAAGCAGGATTATTTTCCAAAGTGTAACAGTGGAAGTCGCTGAGTAGAACGACTGAAACTGCTGTTTTTATCATCTACGTCGGTGAATTAAGAATTTATTTCAACCAAACCAGAGTTGGTGATTGTTGGAACCACTAACAGAGACGTTTTATTTGAAGTTGAATGAAGTTACGATGGTCTGTGAGGTAAAATTACTGTTTTTGTCTCTAGTGTCTGGTGGTGACTAATAGCAATAGTACTGCTGTTTGTGGTTAAACTAAAGGTCTGTCTCTGTAGGGATCCTTTCATAATGTTGTCAGACTCTTACAATAACAATCTGAGCCTGTCAGTGGCTGAAATACGCACTTTTAGTACGTTTAGTTTATATTTTGGCCATTTTCATAAATGTTTTCATATCTAACTCGGTGAATTAAGCGTTTATTTTCCAAACCAGCATTGGCGATTGCTGGAAAGACTAAAACAACACGTTAAAATGGGATTTTACAGTGGGGAAAAATACTCCTCTGCCTTCACTGTTCTCCCACATTACTCCTCCAGCTCCTTCCTGCTGTTCTCCTTTTTCAAATCTCCCACTCTTTCCCTTCTCACCTCCTCATCATTTCACTTTACGCTTAATTCCCTCCCAAGTCTCTCCTCCTCGCCTCTTCCCGTCAAAGCTTTGCTCTGCTGCTGTCCTCTCTCTTTCCCGTCATTCTCCTTTTATATTTCCTCTCCTTCTCCACATTCCTTCCCATCCCTCCATCTCCTCCTCCTCCTTCCCCTGAGTCTTTGTCTCCCTCTCCATCATGTGCTGTTGGCAGCTCTGAATGGAGGAGCTCAGGGAGCTCAGGCTCTGTCAACCAGGAAGAAAACATTGCCACGAGGGGCCGGGTCAACAAGGCTTGTTACTTAGCAACCCCCTCGCCTCCCCCTGGGAACTGGAGGTAAACGGCCGTCGCCATTGGCTGAGGCTGCTCCTCGCTCGCTGCTCCTGTTATGTAATGTTGCCGTTTCATCGCAGCGACAGGACCAGATTGAAAAGATGTTTGTGCCTTGCCAAGCTCTCTCTGTTCCTCGCTCACCAAAAAAAAACTGATTTCCTTCACCCTCGTCAGTGACCCAGCAATTAGTCTGTACATTTTTCAAACAAGCCAAGGGAGGAAATGATCACTTTACAAGACAGAAGGAGTAATGAGTTGATTTCTGCCAATTGAAACTGGCCCAGCTGTTCTCTGCTGCCCTCTCCCCTCTTCTCCTACTCCCTTGAACCACATTTAGACTGAACTGGCTGATGGAGGGGGGGCAGGCAGTGCAGTCGGAGAGATGTGGGGATTTTCAGAGCGGCTTAGAAATCTGAAAAGGGCGATGAGGTCACGGGAGAGGAGCTTTGAATTGCAGACAGTCGCTCTGGCGTTGCAGCTATAGACTGCTTATGCAAGCAATAGTCTTGGCAACTGATGGCTGAGTCTATTTGAAGTTGGGTTCTCACAGGAGCTGTCAGGCCAGGCCAGCGGCAAACTGCATTACAGCGTTTTCAGCTCGTCCTGTAGAAACGTGGCGACCTCCTCATTCACCCCGATAAA